TGATAAACACACCTGTTATTATCAGGTGATAAACACACCTGTTATTATCAGGTGATAAACATACCTGTTATTATCAGGTGATGAACATACCTGTTATTATCAGGTGATAAACACACCTGGTTGTATTGAGGTGATTAAGTTGTTGTTCAGCTGATGTTTTGTTGTGTTTTTAACATTAAAGTCAAACCTTTTTTTTCGGAGCTGCAAACGAACCAGAACCTGTAAGTGGACCGAGCCTGACAGACATGCACTTTGCGGGTATGTGCGAGTGCTTGTGTCCATTAGCAGACTAACATCTTCCTGCCCCACCCCCCCCTCCTCACGAGGCTCCGCCTCTCCCGCGGGGCGGTGTCGGCGCTGCAGTGAAGCATCCTAAACAGCATCAGAACCAGGACCAGACTGCAGAACTCAGCAGACCCGGAACCAAACCGAGCCGCGGAGCAGCAGGACAGCAGGTAGGTGAGGCTCCTGGCTCCGAACTGGACTTTGTTCTGGCTGGTTCCGGATCAGCTGCATCACTGTTTGCACGTTGATTCAGCAGAACCATTAWCTACGTCACTGCTGTGATTAACCAATCAGAACCGTGCGCGCACACGCAGTGACAAGAGTTAACGGAACTGTGAGGCGTTCAGGGTCCTGCGCTGAAAACGGGAACTTCTGGCCGATGACGTCATCACATGTCTTTTTTTAATCAGGCTTGATTTCTGTCTGAGGTTCTGGTCTGACCCAGGTCCAGCTCAGTACCAGGTTGTGCAGCTGTCTCTGATCCTAACCCGGTCCTGTTTGGACCCAGTCTGGTTCTGATAAACCTGTGTCTGTGGCAGGTTTTGGGTCAGGATGTTCGCTGGCGTGTCAGAACGGATCCAGAAAGACCGGGACCGAGCCGGAGGTCTGGGGTCTGTCCAGCAGGCGGTCCAGTACCTGAAACAGAACTTCCAGGRCCTGAAGGAGGAGTGTCTGCTGAACAGAACCCTGTTCCAGGACCCAGTGTTCCCAGCAGAACCAGCCTCGCTGGGCTTCAAAGAACTCGGATCAAACAGCTCCAAGACCAGAGGGGTGCAGTGGAAAAGACCCACGGTAAGGACCAGGACCAGGTCCAGGACCAGGTCCAGGACCAGGTCCAAGCCAGTAAAACAACTCAAAACTCTGAAATGCTGCAGAGCTGGAACAAACAAACAAACAAAAAAACCAAAAAACAAACAAACAAACAGACACACAAAAACAAACAAACTAACTAACAAACAAACAGACACACAAAAAACAAACAAAAAACAAACAGACAAAAAACAAACAAAAACAGACAGACAAAAAACAAACAAACTAACTAACAAACAAACAGACACACAAAAACAAACAAAAAACAAACAGACACACAAAAACAAACAAAAAACAAACAGACAAAAAACAAACAAAAAACAGACAGACAAAAAACAAACAAAAAACAGAC